GCGTTTCAATAAAACATAATGCTAAATAAATACGATATCTATTTACTACCAAAGTCTTAATTAATGTTTCTCTACTGTCTTCCGCCTATTATGTGTGTGTGTTGTGTGTGCTGTGCGTGCTGCGTGCGTGCGTGCGTGCGCGTGTGTGTGTGTGTGTGTGTGTGTCGTGTGTGTGTGTGTGTGTTGTGTGTGTGTGTGTGTGTGTGTGTGTGTGTGTCAGGTGCGACCAGCGTGCGACAGCGTGCGTGCGGCTGTACTATGTGTGTTGCAGATGAGCATTTGCCACGGCATTATACAGAAATTGTCGGCAATTATATCATTATATATATATATATATATATATATAATATATATATGTGGTGCGTGTGCGGTGTGCTGTGCGTGTGCCGTGTGCGTGTGGCCGTGTGCGTGGTGCGGTGTGCTGTGTGCGTGTGTCAGTGTACGGCAGCGTGCGTGCGTGTAGCAGATGTGTGTTGCGAGAGAGCATTTGCACGGCATTTTCAGTAGTCCATGAGCCAACAACTTTCTATTACCAAGGTTGGGGGCAAATGCTAACATGCTTTTCTGAAAGCAGCTGTGTGTGTAGTATTCAAGAAATATGTTATATGTTGTCCAGATTCGGAGCTAAGGGGGTCACGCTGACTTTAACAGTCAGTAATTTTATCAAATTTGCTGATGTTTATAACTAAATATGTTAAAAAAATTATCATCTCGTTCTGATATGCAAGGTAATTCTGTCATCTCTTCAACTATTAGTTATGTTTATGGTGAGGTTCATTTGCAAGCAAAAAGTTTTTGATAATTTGGGATGTTGAAGTCCAATCGTGACTAATAATATTATTTCTTAAAATAGGTAAATTATAGAAAAATGTATCATTATACTTTAAATGATCCAACGAAAGATGACTTAATATCGCGCATTAAAAACAATAATTAAGAAATTTTGGATTTATTGTTAATAATCCTGACCGTTTCTTTTGTATTTTCGTGCCATTGTGAAGAGTTATATAAACATTTTATAAAGCGCGGGTGTAGTGTTTGGTCACCCTGCTGGTAGAAACCAGAAATTCTAAAAACGTAAATATTGTTTCATTATAACAATTCATTTATACAAGATTAAATTTAAAATGAAACTAGCTCGTTTGAGGCAATTCTCTGACTAGATATGCTTAATTAAAGTTCTTCAGATGAAGACTGATCATATTAGATCACGTCTAACAGTTGTTTTACTAACCTGTCAGGTAGCTGAACCGTGACGTATTTGTATACCACATATCGAGCGGACGGATGAACGGACGGACGAGCGGACGGACGGAGGGAAGGAAGGAAAGATAGACGGATGGATGGATGGATGGATGGATGGATGGATGGATGGATGGATGGATGGATGGATGGATGGATGGATGGATGGATGGCTGTGGATGGCTGTGGATGGCTGTGGATGGCTGTGGATGGCTGTGGATGGCTGTGGATGGCTGTGGATGGCTGTGGATGGCTGTGGATGGCTGTGGATGGCTGTGGATGGCTGTGGATGTGGATGTGGATTTGATGGCTGTGATGGGGTGTGGATGTGGATGGCTGTGGATGTGGATGTGGATGTGGATGGCTGTGGATGTGGATGTGGATGTGGATGGCTGTGGATGTGGATGTGGATTGGTGTGGATGGATGTGGATGTGGATATGGATGGATGTGGATGGATGTGGATGTGGATGTGGATGGATGTGGATGTGGATGTGGATGGATGTGGAATGTGGATATGGAGTGGATGTGGATGTGGATGTGGATGTGGATGGATGTGGATGTGGATGGCTGTGGATGTGGATGTGGATGATGTGGATGGATGTGGATGTGGATATGATGGATGTTGGTATGTGAATGTGGATGGATGTGGATGATGTGGATGTGGATGGATGTGTGATGTGGATGTGGATGGATGTGGATGGATGTGGATGTGGATATGGATGGAGTGTATATTGGAATGTGGATGTGGATGTGGATGTGGATGTGGAGTGGATGTGGATGATGTGGATGGATAGATGGAGTGGAATGGATGTGGGATGGATGGACGGGACGGACGGACGGGACGGAAACGGACGGACGGACCGGACGGAAGCGGACGGACGGACAGACGAATGGATGGATGAATTGGATGGATGGATGGAGTGGATGATGGCTGGGATGGATGATGGATGGATGGATGGATGGATGGATGGATGGATGGATGGATGGATGGATGGATGGATGGACGAGTGGACGGATGGACGATTGAACAGACGGATGGATGGACGGATGAATGGATGGATGGGATGGGATGGGATGGGATGGGATGGATGGGATGGGATGGATGGATGGGATGGGAAATGGGATGGGATGTGGATGGATAAATGGCTAGATCAGGGGTGGGGCAAACTACCGCCGGCGGGCCGCCATGCGGCCTCTACGGGTCTGTGCGGCGCGCGAAGCCTGGCGAGGAAAATAAAAAAATAAAAAATAAAAAATATTTTTTTTTAAATCATAGATTTTTGGTGAAGTCCAACATGTTTGTGCTTGAACCCCGAGGCTGACTTTTTCAGTGTCATACAGATTTACTGTTCTATTTGTCTCTGGTTCGCTCTGGGCAACGCCATTTCAGCTAATTAATGTCCAGAACTGGCGCCCATTGTGGCAAAAACGCACGCTATATCTAAGCGACCGCCTGATTTTAAAAGTGCGGCCCTTACGATTTTCAATGCCGCCTGATGCGGCCCTCAGCTTTGAAAAGTGTTGCGGCCCGCACTGGCTAGATGGATGGGATGATGGATTAATGGCTAGAGATGGGATGGATAATTAAAAAGATGCGATGGATAAATTAATAGGGATGGATGGATAAATTAATAGGAATGGATGGATGGATGGAATGGATGGATGGACGCACGGACGGACGGACGGACGGAGAGACGCAAGAGAAAATAATATAAGGAGTATTAATATAGTAATGAAGTCTCTATATATTTCTATGGGAGGGACGGGGACGGACAAATGGATGAATGAACGGGTGAAGTGAAAGGTCACGATAATATGTGCGGCATTAAAGATTAACAGCAATTATACAGGGCAATATTACCACAAATACTGTTAATTTATCGCACTGACAATTGGTAAAATTACGCAGGCAGTGTTGTCAAAATTAATTAACTGTCGCGACGGAATGTTTAACTATGCTATTTAATAAATGTGAGAGCGCTTACAAGTACGCTTTAAGCCAGTCTGATATATTAGTAGTACGGCAAGAGTGTTGAAATTTCACGGATGCCATAGCAATGGCACTCGAGAAAGTCGGAAGCACAAAGTCGTTGATAGTGCTTATTCTAACGATAAACAGCAATAATTAATTATTTCAGGCGCCTTTCGGTGCTTTTTGCAGATAGGTTTTAATACACTTTATCAGGAGTGATTAATAAATTGTTTCACTCCTGGTATTGAATCTATATTAGCTTTATTTATGCATATAAACCTGATAACCAATAGGCGGCTAATAGATGCATATGCATTATATAAGCACTAAACTCACACACACACAACACTACACAACACAACACACACACACACACTACACACACAACGTCACGCACACACACAGCACCACACACACGGACTAACACCCAAACACAACATCACACAACACACACAACACACACGAACACACACAACACACACAAGACACGCAACGCCACACACACACACGCAACACACTATAACACACGCACACACAACACACACACACATCAGCACACACAACAACACAGCACACACACAAGCAACACATACATACACACACATCACACACACAGACACAACACACCGCACACGCGCGCGCGCGCTGTGTGTCACCGCTCGTGAGAAGTAAGCGTGTAAATCTTGTAAAATAAAATGTAATCATTGAAAAATAGCACGTTTTTGAATTCTTTGTGTTCTACCACAGTATGAACACAAACTAAACTTCCGTTTTAAAATGTCTTACTAAATCCTACAATGTCAGCGAAAAATACAAAGAAAACGGTCAGGATTCAATTACAACAAAATCAAAATTCTTATTATTGTCTTTTAAGTAGGATATTAAAGTTTCATTCTCTCGTTGGAATCATTTAAAGTATAGATGCCTTTCCTATAACTTTTACGTATTTTGAGAATCAATATCATTGAGATGACTATATATAATCAAAAACTTTTGTTGCAAAAATGAACCTTCACACCATAAACCTAACTAATAGTTGAAGAGATGACAGAATAACCTTGCAATACAGAACGGGATCAGATTTTTTTAAAAGATTTAGTATAAATCAGTTCCAAATTTGCATAATTAACTGACTTAAAGTCAGCGTGACCCCCTTAAGCTACCGATCTGACAAGGCTATCAGACATATTTTAATTGATTCTACACAGCAAGGGCTTTCAGAAAATGTATGATAGCATTTGCCCGCAACTTGGTATTTTTATGAAATGTCAATTTTAGGCTGCCTGGCTCATGGACTACAGAAATTGTCGGCAATCGAATAGGCGAAAGGAGAGTAGAGGCGCGTCACACTGGCGGGAATAGCGCCGGGATCGCAAATCTCGGTTTTTGCATCGCGATCGAATGCTGCGAGATTTTTACAAGTGTGAAGCGGCAAAAATCTCACTACGTAAATCGGCGATCAGCATCGTCGTTGCATAATGCGCAACATTATTAGAACTGCGTTTATTAGACTGCGATAATTAGACTGGCGATTATTTGGGGAGTAGCGCGATAATGCACCGCGCGGCGTTGTGTGAACGCTCTGCTGGCAAATAATCCCGGTATTTTATATGAGCCAATAAAAAAAATAAGATAAAAAATGAATGTTGAGTTTTAGGCTGCATCGTACATAGTCAGATGCAGCTTGTAGAATCGCATGAGTCGTACCTCTGTCGTGCGATGCGTCCGTCCGTCCGTCCGTGCCCGTCCGTCACAGTGGCACAAATCTTAACGCTCGCGTAACGGTCACGAATCGGACGTGGGGGGTAATCCGACGATGNCCCTGTTCATCTGCCGGCGGTAGATCGCCCAGAAGACGAGACCGTAGATGACGGTGATGAGGAGGACGATGAAGAGATAGTTGGTAACGGCGCAGGACGTCATGATGGCCGTCAGGAGGCGCTCGTCGGTGATGATGCAGCAGTCCGGCGCGACGACGGCATGCGGCGTCGCGTACACGACCGCCACGGCGAGCGTCATCGCCACGCAGACGCCGATAAACCCGCTGACGTGCCGCGTCTGCATCCTCATATGGGGGCGGCACACGGCGAGGTAGCGCTCGGCCGCGATGACGACGAGGATGCAGTATGAGAACATGACTGGAATTATCTGCAGATACTGTTCGAGCATGCACAGCGCGATGTTGTTCTTCATGTTGACGTAGTGAGTGAAGA